TTTCGTTTCGGCCGCGGGGGAACGCAGCGCCATGCACAGCGACACACAGACACACAGACAGGCAGACAGACACGCACACACACGCGGCGCGCGAGCAAATGTGCCGGCAGCATGCATACATGCAACTGTTGCAAATACGGGCGGCGAGTCCGGGCGACTGCACACAACGCGAACCTCGCCGACCTCGCGGACCCCGACGCAGGCTGTGCAGTGCCGGTCCCCCAAATGCACATCCAGAGCCGCCAGAGCCGCCAGGCCTCGCCCTCATTGGCTGAATTACGCCTCCAATCGGGACAGAAATCAGACACCCCCACTATCGCGTGTGTGCGTGCGATCCGCTCGTGCGTGTGTGCGGTGTGCGGTTTGCTTGTTAATGTAGTGGGGGTGGGGGCGCGGGGGGTTCGTTTGTGGGGCATGGGGGCGGCGCCGGAGGGTTGGCCACTGGAATAAGGCAAACCGGAGTGAAACGCTGTCTCTCTCGCACCCCGACGGAACGCCCCACGACAGTGCGAGAGACAGAGCGACGAGAACGACTCTCGGAATCGGTCTGAGGACTGAGGATGTAGAGGCACTGCCCCAGGACGGCAGGACACCCCGCACAGAGAGCACGCCGTTTACGACCACGACGGCGGCGCCGCGCGACCACCGCGACCCTCGCCGTCGTGGTCCCCGAGACGCCCTCGGGAGGCACCCTCAGCCCTCCAGCCCTCCAAGCAGCCCTTCGCCGCGCCGCTTCCGCACTCGCCGTCCCTCTCTCTCCCACGCACGAGGAGAGAGAGACGAAACACCGCGAAGCCCGGCAAAGCCCACTCGAGCTGCGCGCCAGGCCACGCCAAGCCACTGTTCGCTGGCACAACACTCCCCCGAGCGTTCGTTCGTCGAGCTCAGCTCGCGAAACTCCGTGTCTCGAGCGTCAATCCCTCGCCCTCTACTCGCCCCGAGCCACCTACTGAGTGTACACCCTCCTCCAGGGAGGCTGGCCGAGCCTTGAGCCGCGCTGGCGCACCGCCGCAGTGCTCCGTCGCTCCGTCTCTCTCTCTCGCGCACTCGTGGGGCATCCCGCACAGGTGCAGGCGAGAGAGGGACAGACAGAGCGACGAAACGCTGGGCGGAATCAGTCTGCTACTCAAGACCCCGACTACATGCCAGTCAGTGTATGTGAGTGTATGTGTGTGCATGCTTGTGTGTGTGTGTGTCTGTGTGCAGGTGGATATGAAGGTTTACGCGTACCCGCCGTGCGAGGCGAGCCCCACTACTTGTCTTTCAGGCACCTTCGGGAGTGTGTGTTTGAGTGTGTAAGGCCTGTGATGAAAGAAGAAGATAAAGCACAAAGGAGGAGAATGGAGAGGTGGGAGGGGCGAGAGAGAAAGACGAGTGGCCGAGCACCCGCAGCCCTTCCCCCCACTCATTTCTACTTCCTCTTGTCCTGCGGCATTCTCCGCTCAAGACGCCCCTTCGGCCTGTTCGGCCGGCCCAGGGCCCGGGGCCCAGGCCTTCGGGGACGAGGGGGATCTCTCTTTTTTCGTATCAGGAAAGAGGGAAGGGCAGGGGGCATCCCCCGGGAAGATGGGGAGAGAGAGAGAAAGAGAGAGAGGGCGTTTGTAGCAGCGTAGCAGTGGGAGCTGCCAGGGGGAGGAAAGTGAAAAACTGCACATTTACAAAAGCACGGGTCGTTTGGTCTCAGCGGAAAGTAAAAGTTGGCGCGGCGCGCGCCGCGCCCCCACCTGGGACTGGCCGCGACTGGCCGCGACCGAAACGGCGCCAGCGACTCTGAAGCTCAAAACGCGTCTAGAGTTTTGGCCGCCGCCACCAGTCTTCTGGCCCAGCCGAGCGCCCGAGGTACCGACACACAGTGCCTGGCTTCGACAGGCCAGGATCGCTCCCGACCTGGGCCCCGCCGCCGCGGGCCCTGTCATAGCGTGCAGACTGAAGAGACCCGCACCCTTACGGGGCGCCCCGCGAGTGCGAGGGAGACAGACCGGCGGGCCGCACTGTGCCCCACCGGGCCCCACCGTGGGGCCTCCAGGACAGAAGGTTCATCGTCAATCGATAGGCCGCAGCGTGCCCGCCGCGGCGCCCTCGGCAGCCCTCGGCCACCAAGGTCTCCCGCGACCCCCGCCGGGGCCCCGCAGGCCGAGGGCAGTGTGGCCCCACAGTGTGCACCAAATCGTACCTCGTCCCCTCGGCTGATGCGCGCAATGACAACCGCGCAATACAAGCGCGCGCATTTTGGCGGGAAAAGAGAGACTTTAGGGAAGGGGAAGTCCCGCGCCGACGACGTGCCCGGGCACTGCCCGCCAAACAATCCGCCAAACTCTTTTCCTGTTCCGTCCGCGCATCACTCGCCGATCAAACGCTCAATGAGAAGTTGGAGAAGCGGCGGGGGACTCGCTTGCCTCGCGTTGCCGCCACGCTGCCGCCACGCTGCCGCCACGCTGCCGCACAACAAGAGCGTCAAGGAGCACGGTGGGGGAGGCGGCGGAGGCGGCCAGCAGACGCAAAAGGCGGGGATCGATACGATCTGAAAGGGCGCGCAGGACAGCGCGGCGAGGCAGCGTCGCTCTGTCTCACTCCCACTCGCGGGCCGGCCGGCCGCCTCGTGGGGGTACGAGAGAGAGAGAAGGCAGCCTCAATGAGCGCGACGCGGATTGGAGACGAGTGCAGAGGCTGACTTGATTTCCACGGCTCATTCCACCGCCGCGCCGAACAGAAACAGAACAGACCGGCGCCAGCGAGGACACGGTTGATGTATTCATGCCCCTGTTTTTATGCATCTCGCGGGATGAATCTCGAATCTTGAATCTCGAATGGCATGGCGCGCCTCTCGACTTGTCATTCATTTTCGCCTCCGGAATCTGATTTCTCTGCTGGCGCCCTGCAAGCCCTGCGAGCCCTGCAAGCCCTGCCAGCCCTGCAAAAAGGGGGGGGGGGGCGTGCCGCTGGATGAATGGACGCGCAGCACACTACAACAGCACCGGGCCGTGCAGGCGGCCGGGCCTGGTACTTCGTTAAGCCCCGCGGCTCCCGTAATGTAAGTATAATCCAAGCCATCACGAACTCCACCCCCTCCCCCTCCCGGACAACCCGGCCGCCCCACTTCCCCAAGGACGAAAAGCAAGCGGCAGCCGCGGTAGCAAGGCTCTCCGGAGGAAAACGATAAAATGAATCCAGCGCGCGCGGGATTCGAACCCGAGCCGCGAGCAAGGCGCCGTTGTGTTCGATGACGGGCGAGTCGACTGCGGACGCGGACGCGCGGACGCTAACGCGCCAACGCGCCGCAGGGGCGGCAGCTTGGATTTTATTGCCCCCTCTCGTTCCGTTTAATTCGAAGAGCATCGTCCCTCGCGGCCATCGGCACGCCACGGCACGCCACCAATGGACTGGATCGGGACGTGTCGGCGAGAGAGAGAGGTGGGAGGGGGCGTACCGGGTACCTCGCGTGGGTGTATGATGATGATGGCATTCCGATGCAGCCCGGTGCAGCCCGATGCAGCCGAGAGAAAGGTCGGCGACGCCATCACCTTCCTGCTCCCGATCGTGCGAGGCGAATGCCGCTGTCTCTCTCTCTCTAGCGCGGCCGACAAAGGGGCTAGCGCGTCTAGGCGGAGAGGTGGAAGCACATAGAAGCAGATAAAGGAGGTTTTTATCAAAGCCGAGCGAGCATGCCCTGAAGGCCCTGAAGGCCCTGCCGGTGTGGGAGGCGGAAGGCGGGCGTGTCAACCAACGTCGCGGCCCATTCATCGGCAACGTGACGAACGTGGCCAGGTGACGAACTGGACGTGACGAGAAGTGACGGCGAGGCTGCAGGCCCGACGCATCATCGATACCCAGCCGCACCATTAGGCGTCCGATCGTCCTCCGCCCACCTCGGCCTCACTTCGCACCTGAGGCTCGCCTCGCCGGCGGAGCAGCGCAGCGCGGCGAGCTCCGCTCCGTGTACCTGTACGGCCAGTGCGGCATCCAGGGGCTTCCTCCTCTGTCCTTCTCTCTCGCGCGCGCGAGCGAGTGGCTCGGGCGCATTGTCTCTCTCCGTCGCGCAGCGGGGCCCGGGGGCCCGGGGGCCCCTCGCTGCGAGCGGCCCGCCCCCGCCTCCCCCCATGAGAAACACCTGTCCAGCGGTGCGCCGCGCCTGCCCCGCCCATCCCTGCCCGGCCTGCCAGGCGTAGCCTGGCGCGGTGGTCAGGGCCCATACATTAATCATGATAAAAACGAGCAGCGAAATCACAGATAGGAGAAGACGAGGGAACCGGCCCCCTGCACGCTGTAATACGGTTTTAATTAAAGAAGGGGACGGGGGAGAGCATTGGTATTCGACGCAGCGACAGTCCCCTTTGACGCTGGTGATTTCGGTACGGCGGTGCTGCAGGGACTGCAGTACTGCGACAGGACAGTGCAAGAATGCGGCCAAGCTGCTCATGTCTCCAAAGTCGTTCGCCCGGGCTCCTTTTGCGGAGTGCGAGTGTGTACGTGTGTTTACGTGTGTGCGAGAGCGCTTCCCGAACTCTCACTGCTCCGGGTGCGGTCCGGGTGCTCCACAACCACACCGACGACACCCAGGGGAAGTCCTCGGCCACGTCCAGCATGGCTTTACAAAGAGCGGAGCGCTTCGTGGAGGCAGTGTACCGCGGCACCGCGGCGCGTTGTGTGAGAGTCTCTCCGAGAGGTGCCGGCCCTCTCCTGGACCCTGGAGCGGCCTGGAGCCATGCCTGGAAGCTGGAGCTGGATCTCGACGCGCCGTCTCTCTCCCACCAATCGCACCGCGCGCCGCAACGCCGCTACGCGCCGCCCCCCGGGCCCCGGGAATGCCTTGGGCAGCCTTAAGGCCGCCTTAAGGCCTGCGTCGTCTGCTCGCCAGGTTGCCTACCCGCATTCCTTGAACCTGCTCTCAGCTGGAGGGCCCCGGTACGAGCCGAGCGGCGCCGAGCCGAGCCGTGCCGAGCCGAGCCGAGCTCCAGTGGAGGCTGCGCCGCGCTGGCGCGCTCGCCCGCTGAATGGCTTACCTCCTCCGCGAACTCGAAGTCCCCGTCGAACTTTCGGACCCTCTGCTTGGCGGCCGCGGCCAAGACGAGCGCCGTCAACAGCACGGCGATGCACAACACACGCATTTTGAAGGGCTGAGCCGCTGAGCCAGGCCAAGAGGCCAACGCGACCACACCGCTCTGCTCCTCGTCCTCGCGACTCGCCTTCACTCGCGTTCACGCTAGCAGAAGCCAAGCACCGAAACAGTGGAACACACAGACTAGAGGACGGCGCTGCTGCGGCGCTGCGGCAGGAGACCAAAACAAAACTCCGAGCCGAGAGCTGGGCTGCGCGCCTCCCATTGGCTGGCGGTCCGAGCGGGCGCGCCGCCATCTGGCGGCGGCTGGCGGAAACGCTGACAGTGCTGCCAACGCCGCGGTGCCGAGAGGGAAGGGTCGCGTCGCCACTGGGGGAGGGGCGGGCAGCGGCAGGCAGGATAAGTTCGCCATGACTTGTCATGCAAGCAAGGATAAGTTCGCCATGACTTGTCATGCAAGCAAAATCAAGATCAACACAGCTCATCTTTGTAAATACAGTAGTTTTCTTTATTGCTTTTCAGTAACAAAACACGAGTCTTAGGTCTTATTGATGCCACTAAACCTTGCACTAGGAAATGGCATGACAGGGTATAGAACAGCAAATGGGCAGAAGAAACATTACCATAGATTTGTACACGGAAGGCAAAGTGAAATTCGTGCTTAGCAGTAAGATAAAATAAAAATAGTAAATTACAGGAAACTTAACAACTAAGTACATAAGTGCCACACACTAGTACATGGACAGACCAGAAAAACATAGTCAGTCTTTTTCATTAGCTTACGGGGAATGAAAGCTATGTAATTTTGACAGACAAGAGAAAATTAGGACAGCACAAACTAACTAAGTTAATTCAAAATATTTTATCAATATGAGAGATAAATCACATGTTCGCATAGCCTTCTAATTTTAATGAAAGAAGTATCTTTTCCTCAAAGACACCAATCAAAAACTGAGTGAAAAATAAATACAAAACTCTCACAAACAAGTACTTAAAATGATGAAACCATCATCATTTCAAGTGTCAGCAGCCTGAAAATAAGGCTATATATGTGCAATTCCTATAGTAAAATGTACACTGGTATTTGAGCACATCAAATTCAAAAATAAAGGTATCACAGGGCAAAACATTTACAAGAAAAACTTAAATATCACTAAAATCAAATCATTCGGTCTCATTAATTGTGGTTTATAGAAATAGTTCCAATTATAAGTCTTAGTTATCAAGGTACAGTACTAAATACCAACCAGACATTTTCCAAAAAATTTATAATACAAGTGGCTTAATTACTTCTTTCCCACAACATAGAGGAACTTGTCTCTCTTCAATTTCATTATAGTTAGTAGCTGTGGTCAGTCACCACATAATAATAAAAATATGCATAAACTGCATTTAGCAAAGTTACAAGTAATACTGTGCAGGAACCACACATAGTGTCTTGGCATGAGTCAATATAATGTACGAACTCCACGTTCTCACAGAGAGCATTGTTATCATCTTCTTGTTTTTTACAACATAGTATTTAGTTACTCATTCTTGAAGGGGTTCCTCGCTGAAACAGAACAAGGACAAAAATATAAATACTTCTTGAAAATATTGTTTGAAAAATAAATTTTACATGAGCATTTGCTAAATAATAAACAGCCCAATATAATGAAAAACTGAGAAGGAGTCTGACAGCTGACTCAAAAGTTGAAACAGAACTAAGCTGAACAACACACATATGATAGCACAAACACACTCAATACCTTCTTTAGATGAGGAGGTGAAAGCACCTCCCTCTGTTTGATGATAATCCTCCCCATGCTAGCAGGCTGCAGCACAAATGCACAGCAACACAATGTAAGGCTATTCCCCAAATGAGGCAACGATGCCAATATAATAAAACAAGGTAAAATTTATGAGGGTACCTCAGTCTGAATGTTGTCTCCACTGGAAGATGGTGAATGTTCAGCATGGTATGAAGAGTTTTGCGTGCAAGTGAGACTGTGCACTCTCCAATGGTTTTGCTGTCAAATTAAATTTGAAGTCATGAATATTACACAATCATGCAGACTATCATGATGATGTGAAGAGGAAGGCTTACCTGGCACTGGTAATCACAATATGACGTATTCCAACAGCAATAAAACAAGGCTTCTTTCTTGCAAAATGCACACCACTGCTTTTCTTTGGCAGCAGCAACTGCTGCTTCTTTTTCTTTTGCCGCATTGGCTACAGCTTGATAGACAGCTCGCTCGGATTCAATCCTCATGTGGTCTCGAACCTCTGCGATAGCAAGTTCTGCAAAAGTATAAAAGTGCTTTAGAATAACCCTCAAGAACATTTCTCTGAAGTCTACAGCAAGAGAGGATTTCTTACACACCGGTGTTATGTCGCAGCTCAGCCAGCTCTTGTTGGTGTCGCCACTGCATAAGTTCCATGTCATGCTGAAGACTTCTCACTTGAGCTTCAAGACTTCCCGAACTAGCCATGTCACCTAGAAAATCTTTCATCCATTCTAAGAACATCTGTGACATCTGCAAGGAAACAATACAAGGTCAAGTGCTAAATGAACAGATCTAATAGATTTAACACCTGTGCTCACAACTGTGAATCCCTACCTTCTGAGATTGATTGTGTAGTTCACGGGAAACTGGTTTTTCACCAACACACATGCTTGAAAGACATTCAGATGTTGGCATGCAAGTCCCCGAAGACGTTGGCTGTGTGATGAACCTACAGCGTGCATTGGTTGTGGTAGCAGGAGATTTCAAGCCGGGAACGTTGGCTATCGACAGAGGGGGCATCCCTCTGTTTAAGAGTGAGGGTGCAGCCGTCAATTTGGGCACCGTGTTGATCTGAGATTTTTTCAAGACACTCTCCATTGTTAGAGTTCCTGAGACCAAAGGCGGGACAGCTGTCGTGACTGATGTCACTAGGGGGCTCACTGTAATTTTAGGGCTGATTGATATAGTGTTCCCAGAAGGTGGTGATGCACTTGTAGAGGTGGTTGGACTTCGTACTACTAGAGGCACAGCTTTTGGAAGAAGACGTCTGCCTGTTCCACCTGACACAGTTACAAAAGTAGGAGTTCTTGGGACACTCGAAATGGCGTTTGTTGTGTGTTGACTGTCAATTTTTGAGATTCCAGCATTACTCAGTGATGCTATTATTTCGGAGGCTGTCACATGGACGTTCTGAAAGAGGTTTCAAAGGTGCAAATAAATACAAAGTCAATGAAACATAAATGTAAAATCAAACAAAATTACTTACAATTTCCCTTGTGTCTGATGTCTCTACAATGGGAGGGGAGGATCTTGGTTTCAGTAAACTTGTAGGACTGCTCTTTGCCAGCTGTCGGATGGGTGTTAAACCAATTCCTGGAGAAGCAGGCTTTGGTGGACTTTGAGTTTGGCCCTTGCGCTTCGTAACATCTGTTGTCTTCAAAAACCAAAGGAGAGAAAGTTTATATGTAGTATCGTACTGAAATGAGACCATAAGCAAAAAAGATGACATTGAAATTAATAAATGCTAGAATACCTTTGCCATGGATTTGGTACATGGAGCATCTGGTTCAGGTGAGGTAACAATAACCAATGGATTTTCTGAGTCTGATTTGGCTTCATCTGAACTAAGTCGTTTCGAGGGCTCCAAACGCACAGTAGCATTGCTCGGCAACTGAGATTTGGCAGAGGGTTCTTTACCACTGTTGTTAGGGCTTGAATTTGAAGTGCCCAAAACAGGCGTATTGTCAGTTTTGATCAATATCATGCGATCATTGACAATTAATTTATTTCCTTGACTTTTTTTCTGTTCAGGAATTTCAGGCTGTGGCTTTGGTCGAATACAAATTGGCTTTGTGATGAATTTTGTCGGTACACGGATGGTTTCTGGTTTGTTTGGGACTAATGAAGCACAAGGTACTTTAACTGTCTTCATGGATGAGTTAAATTGAAAAGCAACTTTTGAAACTTGAGGAGCAGACACACCTGAGGTTTCAACATCAGCATTATGAGCAACTTTCAAAAGCACTTTTGGTACTGTCCCAGATGTTTCCTCATTGTTGGATGTCACTGTTGAATCATTTTGACCAACTTTCAAAATTGTGTTTGGTACTGTACTAGAAGTGTTTTCATTAGACTTCAGTGTTGATTCAGAAGATGCTTTGATGCTTTCAAAATCTACTGGAGACTCTGTCACATTTCCATTTCCATTGGATGTCACTAACGTCACGGATACAGCCTTAGACTTGGGTTTCTTTTTCTTTACTATATTCTCAGGGTTTTCCACAACCAACCCTGCCACTGGTTTGAGCTTTGCATCACCCATTGCTACATTCAGCTCACCAGATCGAACATTGGACTTCAGGGATTTGGGTACAGCAACTGAGGAGATCGAGAGTTCTTCCACAGGCTTAGGATGATTTGCAGATCTAGAAACAACTGGTTCCTCTATGCAATCCTCCACACATTCTTCTTTGATATTTGTATCGGGAGTTGTTTCCTTGGTCTTATCAGATGTCTGACCAGGCAAGATGTCAGAATCTTTATTTTCTGATGATAAGCTCTCATCATTGTCAGGTGATGGCTCACTTTTGATTGTGGGTTTGTTTATGAAATCATAATTGAGTTTAGTAAGCACCACTTTTGGTTGATTTTCAATCATTTTAAATGAATCCAAAATATTCTTCACAGCCTCATTAAGCAAGGCTTTTCGTTCCGGACTTGACATTTCATCATCAGATTCAAGAGTATTTTCAGTACATTCTTGATTTGGTGTTGAGGTAGAAGCTTTTTCAACTTTGCCAAGGCCAACATTTTCTTCATTGCTGACGGTTTCCAACTCATTTAATTGTGATTTTAATTCATCCTCCTGGGTGTTTGAAGATTGATTTTGTAACATATTGTTGAGTTTTTCTTGAAGTCTATCAACCAATCCAATTTTGCGAATGTCCTTCTTCTTCAATCTTAACTCTGCTATACTGGTGGCTTCGGATGAAGACAGAGGTGATACAAAAGAGCTACTGTGACCAGGCGTAACAGTATGTTGTGAAACTGTCTTAGAGTCACCAATGATTTTGGATTGTGACGCACTAGTTCCATTTTCCTTTGGAGTTAAAGCGCCATTTTCCATGCAAACAGCAGCACTGCTCTCTGTAAAGGAGTTAGCAGCAGCAGGTGAGGCTATGACACCCTTGACTGGAGTAGAAGTGACGTGAGTTTCCTTTAGAGCCTTCAATGCTTTTGAAACACGATTGTCCTTAACATCAACATTTTCAGCAGGATCATTAGCATCTGACGAATTCTGGGGAAAGAAAGGTAACTCTCATGTGCAACAATCCATAGAGAAGAAAGAAAACAAAAGACCACAAGGATCTTGCAATGTTGCACATACCACAACACTTGTAGTAGATTGACCTGAAGAGCTGTCAGCTTTCATTCGTTTGATTGAAGGACCAGAAGTGGCTGATTCAAGCTCAAAGCTACCATGCTTAGATAAAGGTGTCTTTGATGTCCGCACAGATACATTGGAATTGTTGGCATCAGGAACAGAGAGCTAAAAAATTCAATTTTAAATAAGTTATCATGGGTGACACTGTAGTATTTTGCAGAATGCAATAATGCCAATTCATAGAAGAAAAGGGAAATTTACTTACATCAGGTAGCAAAAATTTCAGATGGTCATCAAGTTTTTTTAAATTAACATGTGTTCTATGATAAGCATACTGAAATGTTGTAAATCTTTTCTTTAATAGCTTTATATGCTGCTCGACTTCCTACATGGATGGTTTTAGAAAGAAACTTCTTTACTATAAATGTTTCACTTTTAAATTAAGACATACACCTTCATTTACCAACCTCAATGCATGTATCCAAATTATTCTTGGAGCTCTTTTTCTTCTGAGAAACATTTCCAGGCGACAGTTTAGCAGGATTATTGAGATTAGGATTTTCCCGACTGTACAAATAACAATCTCGTGCTGGAACCCAGGCTCTAGAACACAAAATGGAGACTTTGCATATACATCAGGGCACTTAACTGGTAACTAAAATAAATATGGACACACCAATGTACAAACCTGTCATGAGCACCAAAGAATCGTACGTCTAAGGAATCAGCATTAGATCTAATGACTTTGGCTGGCCAATATGGAAAGCCTTTGAGCTTTGCCCAAACAAGAAGATGTGGTTTTTGCTAAAGAAGTATAGATAAGTGAGAATTAAGTGGCAAACATTGTAGACAACAAAGTTCAAAATAAATTTATTATTAGTGACTTACACAGACTTGGATGAACCAATTTTCATCTTCAGTATACGCGAAGAAATAGCAATCTGGGCAGTTTTCTATCTCAGCCATCTCTTGTTTGCACAGTTTCATGATGCTTTTAGCAACAGAAGTTAGTTTGGAATGGACTGCAGAACATGAAATTAAACAAGACAGACATCAGCATAATTTTGTGAGTTCAAGGTGTCCAATCGCAAACCCTTAGTCAGACCATTAAATAATTAGTAAAATGTAACTCACATGAATTAAAAATTATACAGTTGTGAAGAAGCCAAGTAGCATCACCAATGAAGGCTTCAGTTGATCCATACATCTTTTTCTTGATGTTTTTCTCTAGAAGAGAAAGATACATAGGATTGATGATGTGGTCTTTGTATAATGGAAACTCATCGTGGTCAACAGCATTCTCAAAGACCTCTGCCTGTAACACATTATCAAGTCAAAGATTATTGAGGGAAGGAAACAAGCCGTGGCAATGGTCAGACAGAAACTTAAAACTTACACCAGCACATGATTTCATACGGTTGACAGCATATAATAGAAGTTTGCAGAGTTGATCTAAACTCAGCATTTTAAGAGCTTTTGACCTAAACAAAGAAATGACAAATTTGGAATGATGGGATTAAGGTTGAGAAACGGTTAAATATTGGAAATTACATTTCATTTACCTGGTCTCTTGATTTTCTGCTCTTAAAATAGTTACACACTCAATGCAAACCCATTCTTCCTCAGGATTGGATGAGAGTGGCTTCCTCAAGCATCGGCTGTGGAACCCCCGAGGGCAAGACGCACAGAACAACTCTGTATTCTCACGGTGGCAATACCAGCAATATGCATCCCTTAATTTCTGGAAAAATTGAAAAAAACATCTATGATAAATTTGCAACTGGTGAAGCAACATATGTTTCGTTAGCATTTCAGATACTGTTTGTACGTACTCCATCTAAAACAGTTGCAGGCGCCCATTTTTTAGGAGAAGGCTCATTGACTACATCATTGGGTGGATCACTGCTTGCAGAATGGTCTGGGGCTACACCTGTTACTGGCTTGCTTTTATTCAAAGACTCTTCACGCCGTCTCTTCATGCCATTTAGTAATTTTTTGGGTATTTCTTCAAGTCCTGGTACATACTCAGGAGATTTGTCATCAGATACATAATTGTCTGCTATGATGTCATGATCACTTCCACAAGAGCTTGTGTCATCAATATCATTGTAGTGTGTCGATGACAGTGCATTGTGAACTTTATTCAGAAAACTTCTCTGTTTGGCAGCAAAACTTGGGTCTATGGAGGACCTTGTGGATCGAGTCGATTTACCAACGTTTAAGCCAGGAGTTTCTATTATTGATAAACTTGCAGGCGTGTTTTTCATACTTCCCGTAAGAGGCTTGACAGGAGACTTGGGTTCATCACTTTTGCTGTGACGACAAAGGACATCATTAGGTCACACGTATAAACTGTGAAATCTATTTGATTAATGACCAAAAGAGCACTGTGGTTAAGGAACAATTTTCCTAGGGCATTGGTCAAAACAGAAATTATAGGTCAATCTAGAACAAAACCAGCCATACCTCTTCCCTGTGACAACAGCAGGTAGAAGCTTGGGTGGACTGCGCAAAGCATTTTCAGGATCCAAATCTGGTAGTTTCATTACGGAAAGTACAGGAGCTGCACTGTTGACATTGGTATCTTTCTGAGTGTTGTCTGGGTCAGATGTGTCAGATTCATTTCTTCCAGAGGCCTCTGACTGACATTGAAGAGTGGGAGGTCCATCATCTGTTTCAAGATTCATAACACCTTCACCACAGATGGGGGCCAGGTTATCCATCTGTAACAAAAGAGCAGAATGTGCTGCTACTGTACTGGAACAAACAATCATACAGTTTACGACAGTACAATGTCTCGCATACAATCAGTTCACTAAGGTTATCTGTTGATATTAGGGGTGCCTAGGGTGTGTCCTCCAATCACAACATGAAACATATTCAAAATCTTAATCAATTTTAAACTTAGGTTCACTAGTTTGAGGTGCAAGTTCACAGATAGTATTATTAATATTATTGTTGTTGATCATAAATACAACATGTGACTGACACAAACAGTGAATATGTGAGACTCCTGTTTTTCATATTTCTTTTCTTTCAGTTCTTCTCCACTACTTCCTGTTCCTGCCGGTTACCCCCGCCACCCCTCCCCCCCACCACTCCTCCTCCCCACCTGCCCCCACCACTTAAATGTAACTTAATTAAATTGATAAAACATTCTTCTTCAAAGTTACCATTACAGTTAATGACTCCAAACATGGTGCAAAACAAAGTCCAACCACCTCACTGTTTGAGATTTCATAATACCAAAGACAAAATGGTCTTTGATAACCACGATAACCACCTACCCTCAAGACTTGGGCAGATTTTGGAGATTAATTTAAGCCAAAATCCTTCCAGTAAGGCTGCATTGAGGCTGCAAAATGACTCTAAGCTCTTTTCAGGAATCAATTTTACAAAAAGTAATATTGTCTAATTATAAACGACCTTGGCATCCTAAGACGTCCTTGCGCCAATGAAACTAAGGAGTAACCCCGAACACCGTTTTCAAGACCAAGTACATGAATATGCATACACAGAAGGGGCCATAACATTGTTCCTTTGCGAAGAATGATAGAAAACATAGACAGTTACAGACAGCAACACACTTAACAGAAAGTGGCATGACATGTGATCAGCCCACTACTAATGATGCAGCAACTTATCAAAATGTGAGTTCACTACGGTACCCCAACCTTAATGCCTCTTTTCACAAAATAATTCATTGTTTAAGATCATGTGTGAGCTTGTGAAGAATGAAACCATGGATTATTAATTTTGAGAAGAAGTTGCAACTGCACCCCACCCTGGATCAAAAAGGATCAAAAAGAAAGATAAACATGTACTTCTTATAGACATGAGGGAATATTCAAGTTAATTTATCTGATCACTATTAAAACAATAACGGTGACTGATGATGATTTCATAATCATCATCATGATCATCATCATATCATTATCATATCATCATCATATCATGTCATACCATGATGTTTTAAAAATTAGTTTGTATTGACGGCAAGGAACTTAAGAAAAAACATACACTTACTCTAATTGCAGCAGGACAAAATAGGAAAAAATTTTTAACCGACCTGAAGGGTTTTAAGTCCCAGCAGGTCCAGCCGGCCCGAGGATCAAGTTAGGCACCATAAGGGTGCCACACAAATGTCGCGTAAGTGTAAAACGGAGCTAGGAGTTCCCTTCTTATTGAGGACCCACGCACAGCCATCGCCACCCTCTCACCTTCGAAGTGGTGTCTTTCGTCCTCAAGGGACAGCTCAAACTTCAACCGCTTCAACAGCACTGCAGCTTTGTCCTTTCCCGTCTTCTGTCTGCTTCTGCCCGTGCTGCGTGCTGCGCCGACTAAAATCACCCCCACTCTGAAAGTCCTTGCTGCTCGGCGGGTTGCCTAACCACCCCTGCCAGGATGCTCAAACAATTTCGCTGAGGCAGAGTTGAGCCTGCGGACAAAGTTGCATTGAATCGAAATGGAGGATAGTTTGGTAGACAGCCGTACAACTAGGCTGTTCTTGTTCGCTTTTCTCTTGACAACACACCGTTAATAGCTGGCGTAGCTTGGGTGTGCCCGGTCCCCGCGTCAGGCCGGGAGACACACGTGTGCTGGACGTTAGAGTCCTAAAAGAGACAATCACCTTCAGAGAGCCGCGGGAGAGTGACCCCGGGATAACAAGCTGCGTCCTGCGTCACGCAACGAAAGAAGAACGCACTGCGAACACCGCCGGATGCACTCTTTAACACTCTTGAGTAATTTCTTCTCTGCGAAAGCGTTGTAAACGCACTGCACTCTTCTCATACATTTGAGCGGAGTAAACTTTGGTCAACCAATGAGCGTGCGAGGAGCCCCCGCCCTTTCCCCTCCCTCTCCCCTGCCCCTTCCGCAGGTGGAGGTGGAGCTGTAACATGGCGCTTGATAAGTCTTTATCTTCCCTCGGGTAGTTTTCTGCTAGCCAGTCTTTCAAGACTCGTCTTTGTTCCGAATGAAGTGTCGCCGTTCGATGAGTAGCGTTGTAGTGAAGTAGGCTGTGACAATGAATTCCCCAAAATATGGGGACCGAACTGCCATTCTCAAGCGGAACAGACCGATTTGGCAATCAAAGGATGGTCAAGACCAGATCGATGCTGTTGAATCGGACGTGTCGTCTGTAAGTTTACATGACGTTGTTTTTTGACAGTACTTTTCTATCTCAGGCCGCATTAAAAATTTTAACATCATTTGGCCTGGGACTCATTTTTTTTATTACCTTCTGCTCTCTTAACCTTAACAGTCCATCCTTTTTTATGGTGCAAAATGATTATTTAATTAGAAACATGCGCTGTAATGAAGTGAATGTCATGTTTTCATCTAACAAGCTAAGCTGATGCTTTCTTTAAACTTCTGTCAAACCATGAAAAGATTAATTTTAATTTTTATCATCATTTACTTGCCAGGCTTACTCGCCTAGTGTCATTAATTTTTTAAAAACTTTTTTTTTCAGCAGGCTCAAATTTTAGACCGAGTAAAATCTGATAGAGTAGCTGTTACACAACCAGAAGAGGATCGACGACGAAGAACAATCATTGTTGAAAAAACGAGTGGTACCTATGGTTTCACACTGCAGGTAAAATAATTTTTCAACCACTCTATTTTTATTTGTTATTTTGATGAGGCTGCTGGTATTCAATATGCCAATCTTTTCTTTTTCTACAGAGCTATGGTATCCATTACAAAAAGGAGCAGGAAATTGAAATGATAACTTACGTGGATTTTGTTGATTACGATGGACCAGCCTATCGAGCTGGAATGAGAGAAGGTACCCGATTCTTTTCAGAAATTTTCTATGTAAGACAGTGCATGCTTCAGTATTCTGTTAGAACTCTTTTTCTTTCCAGGTGATGTAATTTTGTCTATTAATGGTCATGATATGGAAAAAACGGATCACAAAACACTCGTAAACTTCATCAAAAACTGTGATTCTAGAATGCGGATGGTTGTCTTATTTGAAGATTGTGTGCGTAAGGTTAGTCTTTCTTGTAATCATTGTAAATTTCTTTATTTGAGTTCAATCCTCATTCCCGATAATGACACTTGCTCTTGTTTTGAAGGTTGAGCTCCACATGCGGTATATTCAAGTTCAAAGAGCTCTCCGCAATAAAATGCTAGAACTAGAAAGATTATGTCTGAAAGAGCGTGAGTTGCTGGAAGGAAAGTGGAAAACACACAGTCTTCCTGCTAGAAAAAAGGCTTCCTCTTCCACCACCACCACCTCATCTTTGCACCACCAAGCCAGTACAGGTTGGAAACTTTTTCCTAATTTTATTTTAGATTTGTTTTATTTTTATTGATCTGAAATTATTTATTTTGAATATAGGCACCGAGTACAGTTATTGTCGACCAACAGTATCTACAGAGGATGTAGCATCTATGCAGCCCCAGGTAGTGCTGGCATATCAGTACATGGAGCCTCAGTACAGAGCTTATCTGCTCCAGGGAGGGCAGTCCATTGTAAGTGTTTTGCTCAAGGAGCATCTGTGTGAACCTTTTTCCATCTAGTGGAAAGTTATTACATTAATAAAATTTCCAGGCCTCTACAGTTGGTAGCACAAACAGTGCAGATTATCTGTTGAGCTGGAACAATCAGCAGCAGCAGACTTCATTGCCACAACCGCACCAACATCAAATTGTTGTAAAATCATGTCTGAAAGGTTGCCGTCAAACTAATGGGGTGGGCTCTGTGCCAACTGAAGAACAGTTCACTCCTAACAGCCAACAACATTCTGCCAAAGCTCAGCATACCTCTCAGGTATTATTGATCATTGACTGCTTCCACGCCAAACGTAAACCATTCATCCGTTTATATATTTGTTTATTACTTTAGAAACAGAGGCATCTCTGCAATCCATGTATCAGACCAAACAACCAAGGTGATAATGGTAGTCTGGATGCATACGACCTTGCCAGTCCTTGTTGTGATTCTCGCTGTGTTCCTACAAGGCGTAAGTCATCTCAGAAGCAGTCCTCAGAAACAAAAGAAAAAGGTTTGTAAAACTTAGAAACAAGGGAAACTTCCTATGTTCTGCAGAAAAATCATTCAAATGTTCATTAAATTTAAAAAAAAAAAATTTATATTTTGTTTTGGAAAGGCTCTAAGGAAAATCGTCGAGGTAGTGGTCGGTCAAGCCATCAGCAACATCATCATCAACAACATCAATCGCAGCAGCAGCAGCATCATTATCAGCAGCAGCCACATCATCAGAATCACCAACAAGCACACTCTCATCGTTACATGAGCCTTGGCGGCACGTCAAATGGGTCATCGAACCCAGGAAACAGTAGTCACAACCATGGACCGGGCTCTGGGCTTGTAAGCCAGTGCAGCTTACATTCTTGCGCATCCAATTGGAGTGAGCATGCAGCGACTGCATCTAACGCTACATCCCTGAGTACGGATACCTTGTATTGGGATGATTCAATGCACTCAACTGTGACACAAACCCAACTACCACCGACAACAAATGTAAGTTGATTATTTGCGCGTGCCTTCTGTTTGCATGAATAGGTAGGGACCTTGTAGGAATCTTAGTGTTGCATGGTCAAAGGCCAACTGATTATTTTTTAAAAATTTTGCTAATGTTCCAAGTTTTTAAATATTTTGTTTTCAGTTCTTTTGCATGTTTATCTTTTTTAAGCTTTTCAGAAATTTTATTATTTTCCTTTTTATTTGCCAGAATATTTGTTGATGCTCAACAGCCCTCTTACTTCTAAGTTTCTGAACATCCGCGTCGATCGTGTAAGGGTACGTTAGATACCTCTCATGTATTAGTAATGCTTGCATTCTGTTAGTGTTTAAGTATTTGGAGTATGGATAAATGCTATATTATCATAAGTTTAATGTCTTCCTTCTCAATTATCTTACAGCTAGAAACATATGCCACAACTTACCACATTTACAACCCCGTGAAACCAAAATCGTGGGATAATCTAACTACTAAGGGTATTGGCGGTTACGGATTTGGATATGGTTACCTTGAAACTACTAGTCACCGAAGTGGCTCTCAGAAGGGACACTCAAGCAGAGCCTACAGCACTAAAATCCCACCTGGAGGTAAGAAATGGAGATATAAAAGTATACCTGCATAAATGAGCAGTCAGTGCTAATTCAATTACTGAGATAAATAAATGATTTGGTTTCCTTATTGTAGCTGCCTGCTTGCAAGATTCCTGTGGACGCCAATATTATATTGTAACTGGACCTCTTGTCAGCAAAAGCAGCGCAGAGAATCTCCTTTGTCGAACTGACTCAAGTCATAGCTGTGATTGTCTTGATGCGTCATCTTCCTCTTCGAACCACCGCTACTTCACTGCCGATAAACCAACAAAGCATCATCACCATCATAAACAGGTCCACTATGAAATCCATCCTATCCCTCAACAACAGTCAAGTCAACAGCCTCAACAGAATCAAGAAAAGCAACAACAAACCGCAGCACAAGTTCTACGTGATATGGCAAGTCAGACTGATAGCAAAAGTGCTCAAGGAGAGGTGACTCGACTCTAATTTACAATTTAGATGATAATTTTTGTAAGTTGACTAGAAGTTGCATTTGATACCAACCTAGTCTTCTAGTCTTCAGTATGAGAACTTTTTTAACCTTAAAAACATTTTATTTCCTTTGTCAGTTTTATGACTGTTGTAGCCATCTTCAGAATTTTATATAAAAATACACGTGCCTTTAGTTAGAAACTAGTGTAACTGTAAGATATCAAACAATAACATCAACTTTTCTAGAGTTATAGCGCTATTATCAATTAATTTTTTGTGTGTCTCTTTCAAGACTAAATATTCCTGGAACATATGCTTAATATTGGGGGTAATTTATATCAACTTGACCTCCTCACGAAAATCTGTGCCACATAACTTGTTTTTAATATTATGAGATGCAAGTAGTTTCTCTCTCAATTTTTTTTCTAAGGGACATCGTTTTCTAAGGGGGTTGGGGGCGGTTTTCTATGTTATTATTGATGTATTGAAGAAAGGAGAAAAAATTCCTTAACTTCAATTGTTGCTGCATTTTAACAATTTCTTTTCTGTTGTTTTGTTTCAAACCATGAATTATTGTTACCAGTTACCAAACTTTGTGAACTAATGGTGTGTGCAGCGGTGGCTGCTCTGGTTGCTAGGAATAGATACTTTAACTTGTATTGCATTTTTTGCGTTTTGATTGAAATGTGGTCAAAACGTGACTGTTCTTTGTGTTGTGTTTGTTTTATTTTCATTTTTGAATACAAGTGTGTTTTGTATAGTATATTAAGACTTCTTCCTATGTTTTTGTGTTTGATTATTGTATTTTTGTTTGCAATCAAATTTATTGTATGAACCTGTTATGCCACACCTTGTTGTACCATTATTGTGTTGGAATGTTTGTTTCTTGTATCCCAAAGAAGCACTCTTAGTGCTAGGTCAAACACAGAATCCAGCCGCTTTGTCTGATCTTCGGATTGGTGCTCATTTTTGTTCCCTTTGAGTAATGTATTGTACACATGTAAACGTTTTCTGATTCCAAATTTCCCTTCCATAATTGAATCTCCATAAATTATCTTCCAGATCTTTTTTTTTCTTTAGATTCTCCTTTTGACAATTTTTAAGTTACCATTTTTAATGAGATACAGTCTTGTTTAATCTGCTCATAGTTGAGTGATTTAGTTTTAAAAAGTATACAAAATAACCAAAGATTGTAATTAAAAACGATGCCATTTACCTCATGTTCTTTATTTCTTCCTCACATTTTCCGGGGCAGTCGGATGACGTTGGTGATTTTACCATTTGTTGAAAAGTCTCCGTGGCCTGGCCGCTTGGCCAAGTGTTGCCCAGCAAAGCCATGCCGAGGCTGGGGAATACCCAACAGTTACTGTTGAGGGCCTAGGACTGGTCTTCGACCTTTCTTATCTGGCACTTGGTGACCAGGGCGGGGTTGGTGGTTGGGGCATCTGTGGTGCTGGCCCCGAACGCGCTTCCCAGTCCCAAGGGGGGTTGCTGCGGCTTGCCGACGGCCTTGGCCACGGCCTTGGACGCACTGACGCTGTTCTGTCCTTGGGTGGACGAGGGACTCGCTGAGTTGGCAGCGTCTGTCCGCTGCAGCCGGTGTGCCGGTGTGGCGGCGGGCGTCGCCGTCGCCATGGTCCCCGTCAGCGACGCTACCAGCTTGCTGTCCTCGGTGGGCGTGGCCTTGAGCTTGGACGACGGCGACGACTCCACCTTCTCGGCCGAGGCGCCGGACGGCGGCGGGTGGTGGTCCTTGCAGGACCGCATCCAGTCGTGCTCCAGGATCTCCTTGAGCGTGATGCGGTTGGCCACGCTCGGCTCCAAGATGCGCGCCACCAGCGTCTTGGCGATGGCCGACACCGAGTACTCGACCCGCGAGCTGAACTGCCAGTTGCCGGCCATCTGGTCGCTGAGCAGCTTGCGCCGGTTGGCGTCGTTGAACGGCATGGTGGCGTTGAGCATGGCGTACAGGATGACGCCCAGCGACCACACGTCGGCCAGCTTGGGGTTGTAGGGCGTGCCGCCCACCACCTCGGGCGCCGCGTACGCCGCCGAGCCGCAGAACGTCTCGCACAGCGCGGACGGGCCCAGGTCGTTGCAGTAGCGCGCGAAGCCGAAGTCCGTCAGCTTGCAGTTGAAGTTCCGCGACAGCAGCACGTTCTCGCACTTGAGGTCGCGGTGCGCGATGTCCTTGGCGTGGAGGTACTCGGTGCCGCGGCAGATCTGGTGGAACCACACCTTGGCCCGGGACTCGGGCACCTCGCCGTTGTTCTTGACGTAGTCCAGCAGGTCACCGTTCTCCGCCAGGCTCATGAAGATGAAGACCCGCGGGCCGCGCTCATAGATGCTGTACACCTGGATGATGTAGGGGCTCTCCACCTTGGTCAGCACGTCCAGCTCGCGCGGGAAGAAGTGCTCCAGGAAGTCCCGCGAGGCGCGCTCCTTGTCCAGGATCTTGCAGGCGATGCGCTTCACCTTGGCGGGGCGAGAGAAACAAGGACGCCCGTCAGACTCGAGAAGCTAGTCGCCGCCTGCGAACGAGGGCCAGGCGCCCCGCAACACGCGCACGAGTGGCGGGTCGGCCTACCCTGCACTTGGCAGGCGCTAGCAGGCGCCTTGCCCGGCATCGCCTCGAACTGGCCGGGCCGAGAAAGCACGTCGCCTACCTTGGTCTTGTTGCGGTGCACGTAGTTGGCCGTGTGCACGCTGGCGTAGGAGCCCTCGCCGATCTTCTTGCCGATGAAGTAGCCCTGCTGCTCCAGCGCGAACACCTCGGACGCCCTCGGCACCAGGTGCGGCTGGCCGCGGCTCGGGGGGTGCGCCTGGTGCGCCTGGTGCGCCGTCATCCCCACACCATCTGCAGCTGCCGTCGGCGTCCTCGTCGGCGTCCTCGTCGGCGTCGTCGACCTGGTGCGGCGTGCCTGGTGTGCCTCGGCCCCACCAGGCCGGCCCGCGCCGCGCCGCCACCAGCTGGACGAGGAAAGCGTCATCAATGGCGGCCGGCCGGACTTACAGTGGCACACCACGGGCCCGCCAGGCCGCCCCCAGCTGGACGAGGAAAAGCGTCATCAAGGACGGCCGGCTGGTCTTACAGTGGCGCACCGAGGGGAACTACCGACACGCGCGCAGTCAGGCAGCAACGGCACTGCGTTCCGTCGCTCTGTCTCTCTCGGAACGCACGGAACGCTTCGCGTGTGCGAGAGAGACAGAGCGAGAGTATTCCCTCGCTGACTTGTCGCTGATCGCCGGGCGGGGATCCCACTCCCACCAGTCAGCGGCTGCGATAGTTTTCCTCGTGAACCCGTTGAAGGTGGTGGTACGGAGCAGAGCGTCACGTTTTTTCGTGGTAAGTGTGCGCATGGCGCAAATTTATCGTTGCTAGAAATATCAAAACACTAGAACCTACTGACTAGATTTAAACGGACGGTCCTGACTTAACCTACCCCGCGAGGAAGTGCAGCTACAGCCCGCCCGACCAGCCCGCCCCCGTTGCGTTGCCCGCGGCCCCCGGCAAGGCCCCCGGCCTGCCCCTGTCCGGCATGACGGCCTCGGTGAAGGGGAAGGGCGTGGCGGGCGCGGGCCGTAGCCACTCGTGGGCCAACACGCGCTCCAGGGTGAGCCTGGTCATGACGTCGGGTTCCAGCAGGCGCCGCACCAGCCCCTTGGCCAGCGGGGACAGCTCGCCGCGCACCTTGGACCGGAACGCCCAGTTCCGGCTGACCTGGTCGCGCAGCAGCTTCTGGAGGTTCACGTCGTCGAAGGGCATGCGGGCGTTGAGCATGATGAAGAGGATGATGCCCAGCGACCACACGTCGGCCAGCTTGGGGTTGTACGGCGTGCCGGACACCACCTCGGGCGCCGCGTACGCCGCCGAGCCGCAGTACGTCTGGCTCAGCACGCGCCGCCCGTCCGCGTCCACGCAGTAGCGCGCGAAGCCGAAGTCGGCCAGCTTGACGTTGAAGCGGCGCGACAGCAGCACGTTCTCGCACTTGAGGTCGCGGTGCGCGATGTTCTTGGCGTGCAGGTAGTGCAGCCCGCTGGTCATCTGGCGGAACCACAGCCGGCTCTGCGCCTCCTGCACGGGGCCCTTGTTCTTGACGAAGTCCAGCAGGTCGCCGTTGTCAGCGAAGCGCATGAAGATGAAGACGCGGGGCCCGCGCTGCAGAATGCTGTGCACCTGGATGATGTGGGGGTTCTCGATCTTGGTGAGGATCTCCAGCTCGCGCGGGAAGAACTTGTCGAGGAAGTCGCGCGGCGCCTTGTCCTTGTCGAAGACCTTGCAGGCCAGACGCAGCTTGCGGTTGGCCGCGGCGTCCACGTACTCGGCGGCGTGCACCGTGGCGTACGTGCCCTGCCCCACCTTCTTGCCCACCAGGTAGCCGCGCTGCTCCAGCGCGGCCACCTCCGAGTTGCGGGGGCTCAGCGGACTGCACCAGGAGTCGGGGCCCGACTGGCCCGTGCTGGAGCTGGGCAAGGCCGTCATGGTGGAGGCCGGCCGTCATGCCCGCCACCCTGGCCGACGGGGCGGAGGCCGTCGCCCCGGCCGCACCGCGTCGCCCACCGCGGCCCCGCGCAGCCTGCCTCGCCTGAGGGAGAAAGAGAAGGGAACAGGGTTAGGTTGCGAGGCCGAGGCCAAGGCCGAGTCCCGGGGCGAGGCCGAGGCAACGGTCGAGGTCCTCGTCGAGGCCTGTGCGTCGCATCCCCGTTCCCTCGCTCTCTCTCCCGCGGGCCGAGGCCTGGCCGTCCATGTTGCAGAGCTCGCGGTCCGCACGGTGCTTACTCATTTGGACATTGGGTCTGAACGGTCCTGAAATCGTATTATTCTGTCGTTTCCGCTTAATAATCAGAGCTAAATTTTTTAATATAGCCTTTTTTCAAATGCGGAATTAAAATTTTGAGTTACGTACCGCAAGCAGTAGGTTGCTTAAATTAGCCAAAAGTGAGCTAAGACAGGTGTTCATAAAAATTGTGAAATAAAATATCCAGCGTGTGTGTTAAGTAAACTCAAAGATTGTTTTTTATTGATTTCTTTGTCGTTGCGCGGAAGTTGTGTTTGGGATGAATGGGCTTGGTCTCGCTCTGCATCTGGAGGTAGGCGTCAGGTGTCTTCCAGTGGCTGGCCGCCGACGGGCTCGGGCGTGGCGCCGGCGGACTTGCTGACGGCGGACTTGCGGTGCTTGGACGGGGCGGGCGCCTCCGCCTCCGTCTTGTCGGGCTTGTCGGGCTCGATGGTCTTGGACGTCTTGGCGAGCGCCAGGCCGTGCGGCTTGGCGGGCGGCGGCAGGCTGGGGCTGGAGGCGTGCGCGCCGTTGGCGCCGTTGGCAGCGTTGGGCACGGCGGCGGCCAGCTTGGCGGCGGAGGGCGCCTTGTCCTTGTCCTTGCGGCAGCGCACCCAGTCCAGCGCCATCACGCGGTCCAGCGTGTGCCGCTGCGTCATGTCCGGCTCCAGCAGACTGCGCACGATGTTCTTGGCGGCGGCGGACACCGTGTCGCGGGTCTTGGACCGGAACATCCAGTTGCGGTTCAGCTGGTCCTTGAGCAGCTTGCGCAGGTTGGAGTCGTCGAAGGGCATGCTGGCGTTGAGCATGATGAAGAGGATGATGCCCAGCGACCACACGTCGGCCAGCTTGGGGTTGTACGGCGTCCCGGACACCACCTCGGGCGCCGCGTACGCCGCCGAGCCGCAGTACGTCTGGCTCAGCACGCGCCGCCCGTCCGCGTCCACGCAGTAGCGCGCGAAGCCGAAGTCGGCCAGCTTGACGTTGAAGCGGCGCGACAGCAGCACGTTCTCGCACTTGAGGTCGCGGTGCGCGATGTTCTTGGCGTGCAGGTAGTGCAGCCCGCTGGTCATCTGGCGGAACCACAGTCGGCACTGCGCCTCCTGCACGGGGCCCTTGTTCTTGACGAAGTCCAGCAGGTCGCCGTTGTCAGCGAAGCGCATGAAGATGAAGACGCGGGGCCCGCGCTGCAGAATGCTGTGCACCTGGATGATGTGGGGGTTCTCGATCTTGGTGAGGATCTCCAGCTCGCGCGGGAAGAACTTGTCGAGGAAGTCGCGCGGCGCCTTGTCCTTGTCGAAGATCTTGCAGGCCAGCTTCATGCGCTTGTCCGAGCCGTCGTTGAAGTCGGCGGCGTGCACGATGGCGTACGAGCCCTGGCCCACCTTGCGCCCGATCAGGTAGCCGCGCTGCTCCAGAGCCTTTACCTCCGAGTTGCGGGGGCTCAGCTTGGTGGTCATGGGGGGGCGGGGGCGCGGCCGGGGGCGCGGCGGGGGCGGCGGGCGGTGGAGGCAGGGTGGCGGCGGCGGCGTGCGGGGGCTCTAGCGGTAGGGGTGGCGCGGCCCCGGACAACGCCATCGGGAGTGGCCCTTGGCGCCCTTGCTGCCCTTGGACTTGCAGTGGGGCCGCTGCACCATCGTCACGGCCCGGCCAGGCTCCGCCAGGCTCGCCCCGTCTACCCCCGTCTGGAAGAGGAGAGCAGAAGTGCGTCAGTATCAGTGTCTGTTTTAAACAGCCCGGCTCAGCGTTTCACGAGGCAAATTTGCACTGCGGGTCCGCAGGTCTTATGTGTTTATTTTTGAAATTCGTTTCGATTGTTTTGACTGAGATGCACTTGTACTCTTCTCCCCCAGAAAGCACAATAGCCAATCTTAAAACTACGGCCAACCAGGACGAGAATCGACAAGGCCTGTCTCAACTTGTCGCCCGGTCTGCGACTTCGACATTCGACGTCCACACGACTCACTATCTACAAATAGGCTGACGATTTGGTGTGAGATAAAAACAGGTGATTTGGGAGGCCCTTTCCATTGTTTACGAATGCCAGTGGGTGCACCGTCCGTGCTCGTACCTCACCGACCACGTCACCTGGGGCTTGACAGGCTTTTCGGGCGCGCCACTCACCTTGAGAAATGCTAATGGACCGTCATCTGTGGTGTCCCATGTTTGGCGAAATGTGGGAGGAGTCAAGTTCACTGCGAATTTTTAGTTGGGCATGCATGGGCAATGCCGCGACAAGCGCTTTGTATCCTGGTTACCACCGGCAACGCCCCATTGTTCACTCTTGACAATGCCCGCCAAAATAAATTTGAAAGTTGGCGGGAAAAAAAAATGGTTTTGGGTGAGTGCTCTCCGAATTCGGAAAGTAGCGATAGCCAATTGCTCAAAAAATATGAAAAGATTGGTTGCCAACGGCATGCGGTGTTCCCAAGCGGTCACCCATCCAAGTACTGACCGCACCCAACACTGCTTGACTTCGGTGTGCGGAAGGGAACCGGTAGATCCAGCGTGGTGTGGTCGTTGGCGAGTGACACCGAAGAGGCGCGCCTATTCATTCCACCAGTGTACGGTGCACACCAGCGAGAGAAATGCGAGAAACGTTGCCGCCTCAGCACAGCGCGGCAAGCGAATAAAACGCGAAGTTTGTGACGCGGCGACGTTCGAAGCCTCGCGCCACCGTTGCGGGGCTGCCGGGAGGGCACCGGTGCTTCCCTCCACCCGCCCATGTCACGTTACTCATCGAGAGGCAGTCCCTGTGCGGTACCCGCGCCAGCATGGGCTTCTTATCTGTCCTTCCCTGGCACTGGCTGCTGAAACGCGGCACTCACAGGGCAGTCGTGTTTCACGCCGCAGTGTTGGTGGGTCCGTCTCGACGTGGCCGCCATGTTGGCCGCCATGTCTGGACGCGTCATGTCGAAGCCGTCTGCTGCAGCATCTGGTTCACGACTTTGTTGACAACTCGGTTTGAGCCGCTGAGTCACTTTGTCGCTGTTTTAAATCTTGCTCTCTCTGTCAGGGTGGCTGAGGCCTCTACTTGTCACCATGTCGGTAAGAGAAATGGAACTAGCAACCCTGGGATTCGGCGAAAAACATTGAAACCCGTCCGGCTTCCACTGGATGTAGCTTGTCATCACCATCAGCAGAAGTTAAACCACTTCCCCACTGTTTTCATGCGATTTTTGTCCACATTAGTTTTGGTTGGACTTCCCTCCCCTCCCTTGTCGACCTTCTAGCCGGACTACCCTCTGTTTCTTCCATGTCCGAGATTCCCCCCTCAATGTTAAGCCAAAGGGTTATGATGTCTACCAGCACCTAATACTTTGATTTCATTCCACAGCAAAAACCAAAGGGTAAACAAGGAACCAAGGGTATCAAGCAGATTGTGGAAGAAAATGTACAAACCCTTAGCTTCTACAGAAACATGGTTTTCATTTCTAATGCAAGCTTCTTAGCTGTAACTTGTGTTCTCTTCGATGTTTTTACAACTTGGAATATTGTAAGTATGTCGATTGAATCAGTTTACTGCTTTACAATAACAAAATACATTTTTGATAATTTTTTGTTGACCATTTCAGGTTATGCTTGTGTTTTCTGCTATAGTTTACATTGGGAGCTATCAATTTATGGCATTTATGGCAAGAGCCAAGTACACTGACTCTGGTCAGCTTTTTGATAGTGGAGTTGACCTAAACATGGAAGGTGGAATAGCTGAGTGAGTGAGACATGCGATCTCCTGGACCATCATTATGATTTTTATGAAATCATCTGCAAATCTTTAGTTTAACTTTTATTTTTGTTGTACTTTTTAGACATGTGAAGGATCTTATCATTCTGACTGTGATCTGTCAGTGCCTATCCTTATTTTCTAACTACTTCTGGTGGTTATGGGTCCTGGTAAGACTTTTTTATTTTTAGATAAGATTAGTTCCTTTAACTGTGACTGTTGTGCTAATGTAAGACTATCTTCTTTTGTCATTTTCAGGCTCCAGGTCGGGGTTTCCACATGCTTTGGAAGAATGTTTTGGGACCATGGTTCTTCCAGCCAGCAGAAGAACGACAGCAAGAAATTGATCCAAAGAAACAACGTAAAATGGAGAGAAAGCAAACACGGGGACGTTATTGAAGTGTGCTCTCGTTTGACGAGAGATGGTGAACAAAGTGACAATTACTAGCTTGTCCAAAACCTTTCAAAGTCTGGAATGAGTCTTAGCGGGTAATGTGCCAAACTGCTGGGCACTTGAAGTATTTTTGTCCTATGGACATCCACTTTTGTATTTTGGTGTTTCTCTGAATCAGAGGAGTAAAGCCAATCAATGAAGAAAACATACATGTGATAGTGATCCATGCATTAATAATTGTTTCTAGGATGTCAATTTTATCTACATTCTCATAAAAATGCTCAATTAAACACAAATTACAAAAAAATTTGTTTATTTGAAAATATACCCTATCATCATCTTGCTATTAGAAATTTGTCAATACTCTCAATATCTTCCTTCTTGCTCTTTATTGTTATTGGGAGTATAAAGCCACACTGTGTCCAAACCAGAGCCAATTGTAGCGACTGGTTTGAGTTTTGGAAGTGGAAACCGGCAAGCGACTATGTGGGTGCCAGCTTCAACTTCATTTTCTAATTTTAACTGTAACTCCTCCATCTGAAATTTTAAAGATAATATTTTTGAAATGACATCTCATTTTAAAGCATAGTATAAGACTAAAAAATATTATTACCATTTCTTCCACTCCAAATATTACAATGTTGGGATAGGGTTTTAAACTAAATTTCCACAAGTCTCTGCGGTGGAAAGATGTTGTTGAGGACAGTCCTTGCCGTAAGGCTTGCACCTTAGAATAAAGAACTAACCAAGGGTTCAACTCCACTCCTTCTGCGGGAGTAAATCCAGCTTGTGCAGCTGACAAAACCTGAAGGTCAATATTTGATTAAATGCTCGTATCACTTAAATTAGGTGGCAAATTAAAATGAAGGATAATCTTACAATTCTGCCATCTCCACTTCCTAAATCAACAAAACGCCCAGATCGTCCTCTGAGAGCTTTTAAAACATTTTCAACTTGTGAATTTGTTGCTGGCACGTACGGTAAACATACTCTTCTTAATGCAGGTGACACAAAAGGCAGACAAATGACCGAAAGAGCCAAAGCTGCCCCACCTAGGAAACAGAGGGTTAGTAGATTACGGTACGCACGGGAATATTGCGAGGCACGAAATATAAATGGATTCAACTTGACAGAGAGGATCTTAACCAAGCTGACACTGCTTCGCACTTAAGGGAAAGTATCTTACCAGTTATGCCAGCAATAACCATTCCTGCTCCCCATTTCTTTTCCGACGGTTTTTCCTTTCCTCCACCAAGCAGTTCGAAAAAGGCAGCATCATTTTGGACCGAGGGCTTTTGAGTCATGTTTGTCTGGTGGTTAGGGCAACAATGTCAGAAGCAGAAGCTTTTGGATCTCAGCAAATTTTCATACTACTCCTGAAAACAGCCTAGCCAACACATAACACGTAAATTCCTACAGCAACATAAAGTGGTTAGACAACATGCACACAATGCAAAATGAATTGAAAGAAAAGAAAATATTAAGAATGACGTTCTATTGGTTTAGTGTGACTCTACTTATTTATTTAGGGCCGCAGCCAGGGGTTTTTATTGAGGTTTTATGTTCAAAGGTTTGACGGGGGAAGGCCGCCAGTACAGCAAATTTTGTCATACCCGATTGAAGTAGTGTGAAGAATAGATTTTCTACTACATGATGGTTACAGTTACAGTGGATTTCTTTTATGTTTTTTGAAAAAAGATTGCACGAGATGTTGTCTACATGTGGCAAGCTTCAGGATAACGTGCTCTTGTTCCCGATGTGTTGCACGCTCTGCTGGCTGGTGCACCGTGGATCCCATCACCGCCTCCTCAGCCGCTCACAGTCAAGTAGAGTCCACCCTTGAAGGGAAATAAAACATTTTCCGTATGACAGTTTGGTGTGAGTGTCGTGCCTGAGGCCTGAGACGCAGCGATACGTGACGCATGGCCTGAAGCATCGCCGAGGAAACGGAACGGCCTCGCCTCCCAGGCAGGCAAGGCACAGCACTCTGTGCGGTGGTCCGGATGAGAAGGAGATCAGTACGAAGATGAAGATTGCTTGATCTCGATATGGGGCGGAGGGCCGGGAGGGCCGGGGTGGGGATCGCCTCTCTACCTCCGCCCCTCCTGCCCCTCCTGCCCCGCCCCGAGGCCGCCAAGGCCCTCGTGCCGCCTGGCTCCGCCCCCCACCCTCCACAGCCAGCCAATGGGCGCGGCGCACGGCCGGCGCGGCCGCGGAACACCTCGGCGTAAGGCCTATTCCCGGTCCCCCGCCCCCACCCCGCCCCCGCGAGGCGGCTTGTGGCCCACAGCGGCGGCCCAGCCGGGCCCAGCGCCCTGGGTCCCTTTTCCCAGGGCCAGGAGGAAAAGGCCGCCACAACGGCGGCATCGCCATTGCGGTGTGCGCGACGAACGCCCTTCGACGGGAAGGAAGTGGCGTCGTCGTCGTCCTGGCCGCGCCCTGGGCTGCCCCTTCAGGCCCGGGACGTGAGGGTGGAAGAAAGCCAAGCCAAAGTGGCGACACGATACCCGCAACCTGAGGGAGCGGCCGGGCTCCGTTGTCTAGCTGGGATTGGACGCCTGGCCGGCCAGGCATGGGCCAGGCAAGCGGAGAGGCGCAGTCTGAATTTCAAACCAGAATCGTAGCATCCGTCGCATGCAGATCGTTCCAGCCTGGGCCGGCCTGGGCCAGCCCCAGCGGAGGGAAAGGACTCCCAAGACACGGCCCGCCTGTTTACCCTAGTGTTGCTGCGAGGGAGTCTCGCAACCGAAGCATGAACCCTAACCTAGAATGTCAAGCGTCCGGCTGAGTCCGGCGGCAGCCACAAAAATCGTGGAGATTTACTGCATAGTCGGCTCTCCGACTCAACGTGGCGGTGACAGAACGTGAAATTTGGGTTTTAACCGTGTGCTGCCGACGGGCTGCTGGCGGCCGCAGCGCCCAGCATATTGTGGGCGCATTACACGGGACACGCGGACCCTGGGGCTTCGGGAAAGTGAAGGAATCCAGCGGATCCAACACTCCACGTCGCGGGAACCGGCGCGGCACCCGATATTCGGGAATAGAGGTACGCGCTGGTGGGTGTTGACTGTGTGTGTGAGTGTGTGTCTGTGTGTGTGAGTCAGGGGGCGGATGGGAGCGGCTCGGCGCGGCCCGGCCGCGGCGCGCGTGAGGGACCCAAAGTCGTGCGTTTTGACACTGCCTTGATTTATCGTGCCGCTTTGCCTTTGGTCGCCTTTGGCCGGCAAAAGAGCACGAAAGAGGTGTGGCGTGTTCCTGACCCTCTCGGTTCCTTTATCCCCGTTTAAAATACTCGAGAGGAGATACTGCGGGGGCAGGCTGCTATGCCGCTAGGCACAGCGCGCGGCACTTCCGCAACAAATCTTTTCGGTGAGGCGGGAAAGCCGGGGAAACCGTTGCGGACACGCTGACAGAGTTTACCTGCAACTGAGGAAAAAAGAGAGAAGTTGACTCTGTCAACGCTTTGTTACGCGGGCTCGCACTGAAAAAACAATTGTTTTCATTTGCGATTTCGTTCGAACGCGAATAAAAGAGGAGTGCGTGTGTTTGGCCAATCACCGGCCGGTTGAATCGAATAAGCTACGATCAATAAACGGGAATCAGGCCAAGGGGGAGTCCGAGCGGCCGGACGGCCGGATAATTCAAGTTAGTTAATTGTGACGTGTGACGCTGTTGCAGCAAACATCGCAAACAGCCCCCGGCGCCCCGAACCGGAGCCATCGTATAAATCGGCGCCATCGGCCTGCCATCGGTCCTGCCGTGGCTGCTGCAAGCGCTCCAAGCGCTCCGAGTCAGTGGCTGCTGTATTTTCAGGAGCTCTGGCCGCCGCTCTCCCGCGTGATGTGGGTCCGAACCGAACAACGCGGTCCCGACCAGTGTTGCCACATTCCTATGCAAAAATTCCCATCATGCACCAGTGTCGAAAGGGGTGCCAACCCCAGCCTGCGTAGGCCATAGCTGAACTTTGCTGTTGAGAAAGTGCCTCTTAGTCAGGCAGTCAGGCACCCTTACTGGTACACTGTGGGAAGTTTTGCCTCCCTATGTGGCAACACTGGTGGGTTCAAAACGCGTGACGCACGCCAATAGAACGCCGGGATAGGAGGGCATTCTTACGCACCTGTTTATTTTGATGCCGTGAGCCAAAACAAAACGCATTCCCCTGGGATTGTTGGTGCAGCAGTGCAGCTCCCCGGTGGTCTGGGCGGTGTGGGCTGGTGGTTAGGCCCCTCGGCCCCACACACAAAGGGCTGGCTCACTTAGCACTGCGTCGGCTCGACGGGCTCAAACAACTCTCAGAACAGCGAAAACCGCCGCGCATTGCGCCGTGCGCCCCGCCCAAACCAGCCGCAAGTCAAAAATCGGTCACGGCCAAATTTGAAGAAGGAACAACACTGGTGACGCGACGACGCGACGACGCGCGTCGGCCCCAAAGTGATACATTCTGCCCTGTCACTCCGCGTCCATTTGGGGGTCGGCCGCTCCAAGTTCCAAGGCCCGTTCCCATGCGGCCCTCCGCTCCGCATTCCTGGGACGTCAACACCAGTTCGAAAATGCGTTCAAAAACACCTGTACTTGTTTTAAAAAAAATAAAACCCAACAAAATAAGTACTTGTAATACCACGAGCGACTCCGTTTAAACTGTGATTTTCACCTGTAAAATTTTCATTTAAAAAAATTCTTTGTCGTCTTTGAATGCCGATGCTCGCTTTCTGCGTACTTAACGCGGCCCGGAAGCAAGGCCCCAAGGCCCGCGGGGCGAGGCCCGGAAGGGCTTTGGAAAATCTTTTCGAGTACTCGGCAGGGGACGCCCCGCGACGCCCCGCCACGCCCCGCCACGCCCCAAACAGACACGCCCCGCGCTGCGGCGGTGTGGAAGCGCGGCGGAAAGGGGGTCCATGATACGATGCCTGAATCCGTAATGCGAGAATCTCGGAAACAGCGTTACAGATTATTGAATCCCTCAAACTTTTCCCAAGTTGGGCGGAGAGCCGGTTGGTGCGGGAAACTTTCCCCCGCCGAATGGGGCGCGGAGGGTTGGCATTGGTGCGGGCTGCCTGCGCTATGCGACTCACTCGAATTTATTTTCGTAAAAGTTGGTACTATTTCTGAAAAAAAAAAAAAAAAAAAAAAAACGCGCAAGCAGTTACTTGGCGTGGGAGTATCACTTGACCGAGGCTTCTCACGTCCCGCCTCCCTTTCTCTCTGCCTAATCCACCGCGCCTTTGTAACTTCCCCTAAAAGACTCGCACGGCACATCACCCCTCTCTCGCACAGGACTCTAGTGTCCCATACAGTGGCGAGTGCGGCTTTGCTCTCCTTTGCTCTGCGGTGACTGAGAGGCGCCGCTATAAGCTCGGTGCACTTGCGTCAGCATCGACTGCGAAAGCAGAAAGAGGCAAAGTCAGGTGGAATTAGTTGAGTTACCATTGTGCGGTCAGAGCTAGCGTGGCCGTTATACTGATTCGACTCGCAGCGGCGAGATGTTTTGGTGTTGTTGCGTGTTTCGGCACTGGCGCCAAGGGGCATTTGACTCTTGGTTTACGCTGGATCCGTACCGGCTGTTACTTGCAATTCGTTTAGGTCAGTACGTGCACGGCCTACCAGTGCCAGGGGAGCGGGGCCAAGCCCGGGCAAGCTGGACGGAGCTAGAAGCAAATAAGTGAAGATAAAAAGGGCGCCAAACCCGGAGGAAAGCAGCAGTCCGGACTCACGCCGATGAAGGCAACATCACCTTTTTCGAGCAGAGCCGGGCCGAAAGCGGCTGATGGTGACGACTGTGTGGTCTGCAGAGTGAAGGGACGCCTGTTGTTGTCGGGGGTGTGCCGTTCACACAGGCGCTGTGGATTGGGGGTGCGCGTATCCTGCAAAGACAAGGCGACCAAAGAAACAAAAAAAAAAAAAAAAAAAAGAGGCGGGGAAATTGTGAAAAAAGCAAAAGCAGAAGAAACGGGAGGGGAGAAGGGCAGAAAAGGCGTTCCCCAAGCAGGAAAGCGTCCGTCGTCTGGGCGTGGCGTGGCGTGGCCTGGCGTGGCATGGCGTGGCGCAGCCCAAACACACCCTGTCTCCGCGGCGCTCCGCTGCGCATCGGATGTGAGGAGGGTTTGTAGGGAATTCCCCCTCCCGTGGCCCCGCCCCGCCCTCGGCATCAGCACCCAAGGGGCGTCGGTGGGGCGTCGACGGGGCGCCTTGCTTGCAAACCTCCCTCTGCAGGATGGGGTCCATCGTCTTTGGACCACCGGGGCACGGCGCGGCACGGCGCGGCACGGCGTCACTCGAGCGTGGGAGGGCCTGCGGGGGCGGATCCAGAGGATCCCGGAGACGCGCGGGGCGGCGCGGGGTGGCGGTGCGGGCCACGCTTCAGTG